AACAAAAACTTTAACATATATAAAGTACATAGCACATATTCTATTTATTTGTAGAATTTGTAAACCACAGGTTGCACATATTGAACTGTTGCCTAGGTTTAGCCACAGCTTGGGCCATGTCCATGAATGGGCTCTCCAAGAGTTTACAGGGTTACTTCCACAATCAAATAGCAAGACTTAAGGTTAATTGGTCTCTATAAATGTCCCTGGCTGTGTGTTCATGGTTTTCTATCCTGCATGCCTCTGTGTCGTACTGTGATGGACTGGCTAGTTCAGACTGCCTCTTACCCAGTGGCTGTTAAATGTACCGCATCAAATTCATGATAAAAAAAAATGTAATCTTTGTCTCAAATGTTCAACATTGCTTTGTATCTGTATAATTTTTTTGTTTTGAACAAAGAACAATAATCCATTGCCTTTATATGGGCAATGGATTATTGTTCTGGCTTCAGAAGTGTTAAACGTGTAGTTGAATTTTATCATTGTCCCTCCTAATTTTTTACATTTTTCTCTCCAGGGTGCTACGCAAAGAACTTTGGCCCAAAAGGCTTTGGATTTGGTCAGGGAGCAGGTGCCTTAGCTCATTCGCAGTGAAGTTGAAGCCCTCAGCCAACAAGGAACTGATATCTGGTGTCCTCAAATATCACAGATTCATGGTTCTTTGCATCAATCCTGTAACGTTTTTTTTTTTCTGCTGGACATGATGCATAAAAAAATTGCTTTCTTCACACATATAGCTGACAGACCTAGGTGCTTTGGAAGGTTGTTCACATGTGCTCAACATTTTCAAAAGCAGAAATGTGTCTATATTTGGTTGAGCATGTTATTTGCCCCACTTTAGTGTTAATGATCTGCATAAAAAAATAAATAAAGACTATATCTACAAAGTAATCATGGTGATTTTAATGTAAATGAAGAAAGTATGAACAAACTGAAATCTACCTGATTTAAGATAATGTTCTTCTACAGGAAAGGCCATTGTATTAATGATGTACATCTTTTCTGTACAAAACAAATTGAGTATTTTGAAAAGTGAAAAAAAGCACAACTCTTTTTTTTTGTTTACATCTTTAAACAAAATATTTTTTGTTGATGGATTGATTGATTTACTTTATAGATTTCACTGTGGAAATATCTGAGGTTCATCTTACAAACTTTTGAGTGTTTCCGTTCCTGCATCTCTTCTGAATCTTGATCCTCCTAAAGAGGGACAGCAAGCTGTTGTAGTGGACAACAAAGGCATGGTATTCTGCTTCATCTCTGGCTGTGCTGTAGAGCTGGCACACTGGTCTTAGTGCCAGGCAGCTATGGCGGAGGAGGTGGGTGTCAGGGTGGAGGCAGCTGTTTGTTCCAGCACCGACATCCAAGTGGGTGAGCAGCATCAGCTGCAAACCTAAACCAAAAACCCATTCAAAGAGCAAAACTATCAAACCTAGAATTTGCAAATGTAAAACTACTGACTAAAAACAACGCCTCTGTCATTTCTCATATATTTATAAGAAACATTTAAGGGAGTTTGAAAATAAAACTCCATGTAGTTTTTCATTGAGAGGCAACCTTTAGCTTAAACTACATGATCCAGTTACAATACATCAAAAACAAGATGGAAAAAAAAATCCCAGAATTTAAATGCTATTAAATGAATTATAAACATAAGCTGGATCCAAATGATTTAATGTTATAGCACAGAATAAACAAATTGAATTAGGCCATATTAGACAAAATAAACACCAACTGAACATTTTCTGCCAAAGTTAAATGCCAGTAGTATCTTTAATATCTCTTTGATATTTCCTGACCTTTCGTCAGTTTTGACAGGGAGAGAGAAATTATTCTACAGATTCACAGCAGTGACTACAGATGTTTGATCTCCATTTATCTGTTTAGATCTTGGAATATCAGAGAGCCTCTCGCTGTTTATCCTGAGCATTCCCAAAGAAGTGTGACAAATCTTTTAAATGACTGTCAGTGGGATACGGTTAGACATCTAAGAACCAATCTCATCAATAAATATTTGAAGCAACCTTGTAAAATACAGGACGTCAGAGTTTGTAAGTACTGTTACAAAAAAGCTCATAAGCAGAAATTAATGAGCTTTCCCTTTTTTCAGATGATCCAAATATGACATGAATGCATTCCCCATCTAAACAAGCAGGGATGTGGACAGAAAGTTCAGGTCCAAAGACCCAGTCTGGTTCATTGACAGAACAAACAGCAAGAGTATGGCTGTCTGCATCTTCTGCTGAAGCTGTTTGATAGTGCTGGGGAAAATGTTGCATGAAAAGGTTTTTTGCACCATCTGAATTGCTCACTTTTTTCTTTACTGAAATTGTCTTCTTCAAATTAAAATTAAGTCCAATACTTTTACAAGAATTATATCCTGTGAAGTAAAATGTTAGAAAAGACGGACCGCTGATAACAGAAAAAACATTTACTATGATATTTATATTTTGAGCATAACATTTGAAAATTGAATGTCGAATATACAGTTTTATTAACGACAATAAAACAATGAAGAAGTTGTTGAAAAACTGACTGTATGTGCGGAGAAATGCAGAGGATCCATCAATACAAGAGGGGAATGGCAACTTAAAAAAATAATCCATGCATGTTACTTTAATACAATTGTCTCATGTCCTACCCTGCAAACATGAAACACTAGTTTTAAACTGACTAAATATACTGAAGTTAATGCAAAAGATGCATGAATAACTGTTTTGAAGAGAACACAAGTGCAGATAATAAGGGAAACATGTAAACTGAATATTGTAATTATTGAAAGCTCTGAGTCAGGGAAAAGGTTTTAAACCGTAAAGAGAGAAACAGGCAAGGGTAATAATCACCAATTAAAGCAGTTATGTCAAACTGGTTCCAAAAAGGGCCGTGTGGCTGCAGGTTTTCTTTCCAACCAAGAAATACCACACCAGACTCCAGTCATCTCATCAAGTGAGTCCAGTCTTTCACAATGACGTGATGAGATGAATGGAGTCTGGTGTGCTATTTCTTGGTTGGAAAAACAAACCTGCAGCCACACGGCCCTTTCTGGAACCAGTTTGACATCCCTAAATTAAAGTGAAGACAAAACTAAATAAAAAAAAAAACTATTGTTAAAGGCAGGCTTTGTGTCTATACCTTGAAGCTTTCTCTCTCAGGTTCTTTTTCCTGAAAAGAAATCACTTGGGACAAACTCTTTAAATAACACTTCATAACATATATGTATTAAATAACCATGACAAACGACAACAGATTTTGATAGTAATTGTAATCTTACTCAGAACAGAGAAGTTGCTTAGAGTTACAGAAGGCAGCTGCTTACCAGCTGGGCTCACTTCATGGGAAGTGGCCACGATTAACAGTTAAAGAAGCCTTTTATACCAGTCTGCCAGATCATCACATTTTACATCATACATGTCTGAAAATGAGGAGACATCCATGGCTCCAGGCTTATCAAAAATATTACAATTTGTTCTTAGCTGAAGGACACCGCTCTTATTCATTCCCAAATATTTGCCACGCACAAAATGAAGATCATAACTGTATATAGCATGACAGAGGAACTGGCCTAATAGGATAAACTACTGGGGAAAACATCAGTTCTGACACACAACATGCAGCTAATATTAAAGTGTAATTGACTCACACTTCATTAGTGATATTTATCCTAACACTAGAAAAGAGCAAGAGAAGTAGATGAGAAAGCAACTTACAGGTAAACATGAGAGAAAACTATATACATGTATACCACACCAGACAAGACCACAGGTGCAGACTGTGCAAAGAGGCCCCTGAGACTATCCAGCACATAACTGCAGGGTGCAAGATGCTGGCAGAGAAAGCTTACAACGGGCGCCATAACCAAGTGGCTGGAATAGTGTACAGGAACATCTGTGCAGAGTATGGGCTGGAAACCCCAAGGTCAAAGTAGGGAACACCTCCAAAGGTGGTAGAGAATGATCATGAATATGAAGACATATGTGAAATACTTCACAAAAAAGCGGATCTGGTAATTTTACTGTCTAAGTGGTTGTGAAGGCACAAACACCTGATTGAATCGACTACAAATTAAAAGCCCAACAACCAGTCCTGAAAAAGGCAATTAATTACTGATATGAGCTGGAAACAGTTATCTATGATAAACAGGTGGCCCAAACAGAACTTGCAGGTTCTGAGTCCTTGCAGTCTCATCTAGCCCACTAGAGGACTCCCAACTACTTCTAAATGTGTAACACTGGTTCTTTTTGTGATCTTTGCTAATTTACAGCCCAGTGCTGCCAAGAGGGGGCGCTTTGACACAACCTTAGTACTTTATAACCAGACTTTATAATCAGACAAAAGGTTTTGGACAGGTTTCTTTACAACCTGCATACTCACAGCTTTGAACGGGCAAGTCAAGTTTATTTTTATAGCATAATTCAGACATAGAGGTACTTAAAGTGCTTCACATTTACATGAAAGAGAGAAAGAAAAAGAAATAGAGATATATGTAATGCATTACATCATAGTTCAAGTAATAATGAAACATAAAGGCTAATTTAAAATAAAGATTTGACCTGAGAAAGCAGGTAATGCTTCCAGGCCTGTTTGACGGAACAGCAGTTTCTGCATACTTCAGCTTTAAAGCCTCATGGCTGAGGAGCATATAAAGTAGATGATACCTCTGTTTATTTCTAGTTCTAGGAACACTAGGTTAAATGATCTCAATAAATTAAAATTCACAAAACCCTCAGTCATTTATTCAGACAAAGACCCCTCAGCCTTTTATCTCAGAGAGGAGAGCTGCAGACACTTAAAATTCCTAATTGTTAAGAAATGTCATTGAATTTGAGCAAAAATTGTATATTTTATGTAAGAAAAAGATGCTGATTTATTTAGATAATTGTAAAAACAAACAAAAAAAGAACAGTAGCTATGTGTCAAAACAACACATGCCACACAATGTTATCCTGAGACCACCCCCTCTAGTAGTGGGCGCATTAGTGTGTTTTCTATTTCAGTCCCCTTGTGATAAAGAGAGGGGAAGGAGAAAAGCAGATCAACCTTCTGGTTCATTCTTCTCTGCATCACATTTTCCTTCTGATTCTGTAGCATCAACACATAAAGGTAAGGAAAAAAATACATTTTTACTTTCATTAAAAATCTTATTTCAGAAATGGTATCTAAAGTTTAGTTTGCCTACCGTAAATAATATCTACTTAGAACAAAGCATCGAATAGGCTCCTAAAACTATATTTTCTGGTATCATTTATCAACACAATGTAACTTTTACTAAATTTTTATTGAAATCTGCTTTGTCAGGAAATAGCATAATAAACAATTTCTTTAAAATGTCAGTTTTATAAATGTTTAATTTTTTTCCAACCAACATCTAAATACAATGATAAGAGAAAGGGGTGTTTTACACAAAATACAATAAAGGTCACAGTGAAAACAGAAACAATAAGGGAAACTCTGCTTCCTTAGAGGTAAAATAATTTAAACAAACATCTCTTAGAATGATGCTGCTCTGTTCATACATAAAAAAAAACTTTTCCATATCCCATTTGGAAAATTATATATTTATTTAATACAAAATAAATAAATAAAAAAGACCTAATAAACAAATAGTAGTATTATAATAAGGCGTGTTTGTCAGATTAAATGTACCTTTTGAAAATATCCTTTCAGCAGGTGAAAAACTAAAATATAGCCTTAAATTGAGGAAAAAATGGATTGGTTTCATTGTAAGCGATCTAAATCATGTATTTCACTTGGTTAAATAAATTTTAAATTTTGGGAAGTAGACCCGAAATTCTTAAATGCAAATGGTGCTCCAAGAACGACAGGCCTGGTCTATATTTGTGTCTTTTTATCCAGCAGAAAGTGGGGCTGAAAGCAGGAGGTCTAATCTATGTGGAAGCATTCCCAAGTTGGGGGCTTTGCATGCTTCTCCCTGCCAGACATCACTTTGTTGCTAGGTGGGGGGGGGGGATTGTGTTATCAGCAATGAAAGGCGATTGGGTGATTTTTCCCAGTAGACCACATGAGGTCATGGAATAATACCTTAGAAAATGTCAACATTTAAATTCTGCTACATTTTTTTTATTTAATGAATTAGTTCATAACAAAGATAAGTGACAGAAAATAAGAGAACCAGTTTACCTCAACAGTGTTTGATAATCTGCATAATCTAAAACCCGCAGGGTGGTTTTAGTGTGATGGATACATACTGGGGATTAACTGGACGTCATAATTAAGGGCAACTGGGGCTCTAGAGCAAGACTGACTCCACTTTTAGGCGCCGATAAATAAAACAAATGTATTTTTGTCTTCCAGGATTAACCATGACCATGATGCCTGAGAAGCAGTAAGTGTTGCTTTATGCTTTTATTTCCAGTAAGTTGTATCTGTTTTATGCTGCCAATAGATATTTCTTTTTCATATAAACATTCTTAACATTAATAATATATTTTAAAACCAAACTTTAAATGTATTTTCTGTTCTCCTTACAGGCCAGAGGTAAGATTTCAGATTTCATTAAAAGCAAACACTGATGTTTAAGTTAAACTATTATAAAATGTTACATTCATTTCATTTCCTATTGGGATTATTAAGGTATTTCTGATTTTGAATGTTAATGAATTGAAGTGAAACATAAATCTGCTTTTCGTAGAGAAAATCTAAAATCTCAGCCTCTAGAAAGCTCATGTTAAAGGTAAGAAGGATTTGCAGGGATAGTTTTCACTCTTAAACAAAGTCAATTCTAAACTTTTAATTTTCTCTTTTTGTTATCGTTGTCTTTGATAAGAGCTTGATGGTTGCAAAAGCCAAAGAAGAGCTGGAGCAGGAGATGGAAGAAAAAGAGGAGCAAAAAGCTAAATACCTTGAAGAGAAAGTTCCTACCCTACAAGTCACTGGTATGTCCCTGGCAGACCTGAAGGTAACTACCTCTGTTAAAAACTCACAAGAAGAGACATATTTGACCCAAATATTTCCCTTTTGTTACACTTAGAATATTATTTCTTTCTTTGTAGGCATTATGTGAGGAACTGCATGCAAAAATAGATGTAGTAGATGAAGAACGGTATGATATTGAAGCCAAGGTCTTGCACAACACCAGAGAGGTAATCATGCACCTTAAAATACACATTAAATATTTTCAAACACACCACACATAACCCTTAATACTTAATTATATATCTTCAAAATATCTCAAGTAATTCAGCTAAAAATTAAGCTGTATGTGGCAAGTCATTAAATTTCTTAAAATAATCAAATAAAAATTTCTCTTATGATTTCATCACACAGATTAAAGACCTAAACATCAAAGTGCTAGATTTACGAGGGAAGTTCAAGAGGCCCAATCTGAGAAGGGTCAGGGTCTCTGCAGATGCTATCCTGCGCTCCCTGCTGGGCTCCAAGCACAAGGTGTCGATGGATCTGAGAGCCAACCTCAAATCGGTCAAGAAGGACGACACAGAAAAGGTAAGTCATTACAGAATTATAAGAGAATCAATTAATAAAGCAGTACAAGCAATTTACCATGTCCTGTTTCCACTTCATTTCCGAGGGTGGGGCAGCTGAGAGAGTGTTTAGGATTTGCCATTTTGTTGTAAGGAGTCATTCATTAAACGTAACATCAATAAAGCATTTCGATTACTGTTGAAAAAAAAAATTAAAACTGTAAATCTTGCAATCCAAGGACAACGAATTTTCCTGTACTATCCCACATTCCCCTGACCGTTCCCACCAGCAGGACTACAAAATTAAAAAAATCAAACCTTTTACATGTTAATTCCACAGGAAAAGACAGTGGAGGTGAGTGACTGGAGGAAGAACGTGGAAGCCATGTCAGGCATGGAGGGGCGCAAGAAAATGTTTGATGCAGCCAAAGGCCAGACGCAGTAAAACAGCGGTCTATGAAGACATGATGGCTTTCATCTTCAGAAACACCTCTGGAAATGCACGTTGAATGTAGCAGAAACAGAATTTAAAGCGATTTTAGACTCTACATCTGGTCACAGTTGGTTTGTTTTCTATGTTACTGAAATAAACAAGTTCTGATATTTTTCTGTCTCTCCGCTGTGAACATTTTGTCCCAATGACTCCTGAAGAATGGCGTCTGTGAGGTTAAACATGTTTCTACTCTGATTATTAACAGATCTATATTCATCATAAACTGATCGTTTCATAGCTCATGGTAGCTTAATATTGCATAAATAGGTATTCAACATATTTCAAGCATGGATTTTGTGGACTGATGAATATTCAAACTATGAATAACTTTATTTCAAACAAACCAATAAAAAACTGAAATGTAAATATTATAAACAAGGCATGCATAATTGTTATATGCAAAGTTTAGTGCTTATGACTGAAAAAGTATGAAGAAGTGAAACTTATTTATTCACACCCCTCCACCTTCCTATTATCCCTACACAATCAATATTCCTGATACCTATTTAACTTACTATTCCATTCTGCTGCAAACATGACATGAAATTAGTCAAATCAGTTGTCAACATCTAAACAAAAATAAAATGCAAAACACTCACTGAGATTATAGCAAGAATATAACACTACAATAATTGGACAATTCTTTTAAACAAGTCTTTATTATCAGTCTGGATCATCTTAATGTAGTGATACAATTATGTTAGGCATTTGTCCGTGCTTTCCTTATACATTCATAAAATCTGTAAAAGCAGAAACCTTTGGTAGCATACTATGTTACTCAACATTTTTATCCAACATAATAGTTATTAATCACATAGGAACTACTTCCATTTAAAAATGTGTTTTCTTGGTGTGTAAAGTTATATATCTCTAAGGTTTTAAACAAACTCAAAGCCATGATCCGTGCTCTTTGAGTAATTCTAAAGTATCTATATCTATTTATTTATTTAGACAAATCCTAAAACTCAGCAGGAAGCTGTCCTCATTATTTGATCTCCCCAGAGCCTTTACTTTGAAAGGACTCTTCTACAAGCAAATATGTTCATCTGAATGCACCACTGAAATACAGACTGTAAAAATAAGATGAAGAAAAAAATATATATTTTTCTTAATTTTTTTTTTTATTGTGATGTAAGAAATTATATATTCTTAGAACAGTCAGGTGAACATATTTGCTTTAAGAGATCATTTCTTAAAGATATTTAAAAATGTTCTAATTTGGATTGAATCTTGCAGGAGCTCATTTTGCCACAGGGGGGCAGTGTCTGGTGGAATAAAGGGCCTTTTTTTTTTTTTTAGACCTGATACCTCTCTCCACCGTTTTCACCAAAGTGGATTAAACTGTTGGTTTTGTAAAACTGGACAAAATGCTTGTTGGAAGACTGAAGGATTCTGATGAAATCCCGGATGAACTAAGGAACCCAGTTTAGCTAAATACATTTTGCTCAATCACTTTCTCTTGTTTGTTTTGTCCGACTTAGGAGCCAGACAGGTGTGGTTTCCAAACAATAGCCTTCAGAAAGATAAATGGGATTCTTTCCAAATCAAAGAAAATCGGTTGAGAAAAAATGCAAAAAAATTACAATCTTGGGAAAAAAATATCTTATTTTGTTTTTAAAGAGCGTTTCGTTTTTAAAATTCTATGTTTTTCTGCTAAATAAATCTTTCGACTGAAAATAAGCATTTTAAGCTCATATATATATATATATATATATATATATATATATATATATATATTGACTGCAGTCAATCAATTAAAGAACAAATATGACTTCATATTTATTTATTTAGTTCCCATAACCATTTTTGTCTTGCCAAAATTAATAACCGAAACGGAGAAGGTTAGTTTATACCTCCAGAGCTTCATAGATACTGTAACTCCTGTCATGGCTTTACAACTAGCACTAGTGGAGAACTGGCAAATGCACTGACAGGTTGCTTCAGTATTTGCACATACAATTCAAAAATAAGCTATTAATCAATAATAATTCAGGAACGCCTTTGCTCTGAAGGAGAGGGTTAAGTGGAAGGGGAACCTCCCAGCCTGACAACTCTACAAACACAGCTACAGCTTGGCTTCAGCTCAGATGAGAGAAATGAGTCATAGTCCCCACTGCAGTGTCCAATAGAGGCTTACAGCAAACAGAGAGACTATCGGAGGGCTTGGCATGGCTATAACAGCAGTTGTTGATAACATGTTATTGCTTGTGAGGGCAGAGATGAGATTAAAGGCAAAGTACAAAAGATTGAGACAGTTAAGTGTGTGGCATGTTATTCATTGTAACCCCTGAGGTAGTTTAGCAGTAAAAGTCATTACCATATCGGTAAAAACTGTCACTTTTACAGAGGCTACAGAAAGTGAAGCCTGTAAAGTTCATTCTAAAATAATTGTATTTAATGTTTATAATTGCTTCCCCGAAATAAGATTTGAGCCATGCTTCTTTGTTTGCATCTACATGCAGGAGCAGGTTTATGAGGATTAAATGCAACTTGCAAGTCAGTCAGATCTGAAACAGTGAAACTTTTTTTCAGGACATTAATCCTGTGATTTACCGCCGAAGCTTCAAAAGGTAAAAATAGGCAATACAGATCCATAGAGAACGCTTCTAGTTAAGGCCATCTACCATCTGTTTGTAGGTATGTGTCCATCAGTTGTAGTCATGGACTGTTTGCTGCCATGTGATCCTCTGTTGGGTTTAAAAGCTTAGGAGCGAAAGAGAAGAACACAGTACACAATTCCCCACTGGGCACTGTCTGAATCACACAAACAGTCCGGGTAAGTTACTGCAGGTTCAAGATGTTCTTATAACTTTATTTTGCTGTTGTAAATGCGGAGCACCTTTCTGGTGTGTAGGTACTGTGTCCCGAAACATGTCGGACACCGAAGAGGTCGCTTATGAGTGAGTATTTCTGCAGAGAGAATAATTTGACAAAAGAAATGATGTAATCTATTTAGACAACCGTTTTCTTGTCTTTCTCTTTTTTTTTTTTTCTAGAGGTAAGCTTCCATCAGTGTTTTCGGATCATTGAACCCAAATTCCATCCAGATAAGTCTTCACATTTCAACAAAGAAGTGTATTGTATAAGCTGCTGATTCATGAGGACACGAGGAAATCTAGTGCTTATTTCTGAAGCAACGAGAGAAAGAAGCTGGGATTACATCGTATCCATTAATTTACAAAATATGTTACATAAAGTGTTAACATTTTATTGTGCAAAAAAGAAATATTTAGTGGTTTAACATTAGAATTGGTCTATGAAAATCAGCTCTTTGTCTTGTAAGTGCGTTAGAGGTAGCAGGCTGATGTGTCTGTCACTTTACCTCATGATTTACCTACATTTATTTAAAGAGCCACCGGGCTGCATCTGCTTCTGCTGGTTTATGGTGCAGTCTTTTTTTATTTTTATCCATTTGGCGCCACAGCAGAGGCTGCTGGCTGTGGGCTTTTGTGTCTGCTTGAACTTTGACCTTTGTTTCAGCCTGCTCTGTCTGAATTACTTATCATCACAGGGGATCTGCTCTTCGATTTCCAAGGGAGCATAATGTCAGCATGAAATAGATAAATTGTCTCTATAGCTCTCTGTGTGGGATGCTGCCAGTGCAGTTTGCCAACTCCTGTAACAAAGCAGCTCCCATCTCCTCCCCTATGTGGAGTACAGTTGCTGTAACTGAGCAATGTAGGTCACTAAGTGTTCTCCACAGAGGACCTTGGGGAAGTAGGAGCCACGGACAATACCCACTTTCATTTTTTTGCCATTTAGAGGTTCTCCTAAAATGCAGGTTGGCTTAGCTTCTTTGCAGTGAAACAGGGTTTAGATTCTATGCCTAGAGGGGCTTAATTACAGGTTTTTTTTTCTCAAACAGACCTGATGAGGGTAACTGAAAAACATAAGACACTTAAACAACTTTAAAAGCATTTAATTTCAAATGGACTGGAAAGACTGCAGGCAAAAACAAAAAAATCTGAACATAACATTTTAAAGGACATTTTAACAAGAAACAAGGTAGAAATAATTAATGAAGTGGAAGTAAAATCAGGCTTCTTTTATTTGATACCCTTACAATTAAATTAATTTCAACTAATTGCTTTCAGAAGTCGTCTAATATAAGAGACCTAAATTTGTGTATAGATACAGTTAATCTGAGAAGGCTTCTAGGATTGAAATATTTCTGAGCAGACATTAGGATACATGCGATATGAACGTTTTTATCACGTGACATATTAAAAGGTGATTGTTAAGCCAACATTTTTTTGTTTTACAATCCATTTTAATTGAAATGTAATCTATGAGCTCATGTTTGTATTTATTAGGAGCTTCCTTAGTTTGTTTTATTGTATTTTGTTTTGTTTTTTTGCATTACAGACTTGGGTGGAGGAAACCTGGGTGGATAGTATCAGTGATAGCAATCTAAAGGTCTAAAAATGCAGATATACCTCTTGTGTCTGCAGTCAATCATCCCTGACAGGTGATTGTCGGTGTTTAGGGATAGCTGACTCACTCTCTGCAGCAGTACCTGCCTTAGGGCTCTGTTGTTACTGACAGACTGTTAAGGGACAACCGGCAGGGATTATGTGTGTGTCACTTGATAAAGAGTTTTTGCATTAAGTTTTGACCTTTTGCTCATCCAATCTATCAGCAGACACTTCAGAGGAAAATGGAGTGGGTGCAGGTAAGCTTCCCGCAGATGACTTCCCCTTTTATGGTTTACAACATTATGATTTACCCTCATTAATCTGACTTTCTTATTCAATTCCTGGTAAACAGATGATTCAAAGCCCAAGTTTAAGTAAGTCTGGAGCTCAAGTTTTTTTTTTACTCATGTAGTTACTTTGAATTTATAAAAAGAGATTCATACCCCTGACCCTTTCCTGAACCGAGTCTTTTAATTTATTGGAGGGATTGAATGTGATGGACAAACAAGAATAAGTAACTAATGTAAAAATCTAAATGATGCATAGCTTTCATTTTCTATTACAAAAATAAACATAAAAAGTGTTTGACAGACCAAAGTAGACCCAGAGTTTTCGAGTCTTGCCAGAAGATATTAATTGGATTTGGAAATTCTAGTTGATCTAAACATTGAGTTTTAGCTCTGGCTGTATGTTCAGGTTATTGCTCTGTTGAAAGGTGGTCCAATGACCTAGTTCCAAAATACACCGTCAGAGGCGGGCCACTTTTAAAAAGTCATATTTCACTTCTTATCCATAAAATATGGAGTTAAAAAGTTAGACATTAAAAAAATTTAATTAAGGTATATTTCATTACTTCATCTGACTTTGATTAACTTATTGTGCATTTCATTACCTAACTACATTTTTCATTATTTGATAATGGAATTAATTATATTTCATACTTAACTATATTTTATTTGTGATTTTTTTTTTTATTCTTTAACTTTATCAGACCTTGACAGTTAATGATTTCCTTAAATATTTTGATTTTATAAATTCTATACCTTTTGGCTGTCAGAGTTATTGTATACTATATTTAGCTTAATTCATTTTCCCATCTACTTTCTCTGCAATCCAATCTCTGCTGAAGAACAGACATTCCACTGCATGTTTGTGCTGTGTTTGGAAGGACATGTTTTCAGTCATACCAGTGTTTTTGCCCGCAAGCAAAGCAGTCCTACTTTCGTGAAGGGAGCACCTGTTTGCTCTGTCCCCTATGTGTCGAAGCTTGATGTTGCATAATATAACCTGCTTTACGTTTCTTCAGGAATGTATTGTCGACATGTCTGATGCCTTCCATGGTTCTCAGGATACAATGTGTTCACTAATCCTCTTACATAGCTGTGGCTTCACAGATTAGCTGGGTGTATACTGAGATACAAATTACATGGTTCATATTGTATTTTCATAATATCAGACAGTATGGAGGGGAATAGAAATAAAGACAAGTCGATTAAACATACCTTCCTGTTAGACTTAGACAACTTTTATTGCATACACAGAGCGTATACAAAATTCAACATTTTGAAAGAAAATTGTAAGAAATTTTGTTTTGTACAGCTTTCGTGACATTTGCAATCCTTAAAGTGCAGCAGTGATCAAATGTAAGCAGTGTGGGAGAAAATAAACATGACGCAAAAAAAAAAAATAATAAATATGGCAGCAGAGGGGAAGCCAGAAAGTTTTTATAAGGGTGGCCAGGCAATAACCAATGCACACTGAGGGGTGGCCGAAAGCAGATTGGCACCAGAACCTCAGGGCCAATCTACACTCTTCCAACAGGAAAATTAACGAGCAAAAAATCTATATTTTCTAAATAAAGACAAACTATACTTTCCTACAGCCTTTGCTAACAAATAGACACGTATATTTAAACATCCGTAATTTCAAGATAAAAGGCATAGTGGATAAAACTCTTTCAGTTTTGAGTTCTGGGGCACTTGTGTCAATCATTCTGCATAAAATTTATATTTACAAGCACTACTATCTACATAAATTAATTAATTGATAGGTTTTTATTAAAATTGTTATTTATCATTAATTTAATGAAGACTCCTACTTGACTTGCAGAGACATAATTTTCTCTTTACCCCATATAACCCAAAACCTAGCTCTGGAAGCGCATGAATTCTGTACTTATCATATTTGACATTAGTATGTGGATGTGTATTATTGACCACAAAAAATTAAAATGTTTTGAATACTCCACTTGAGTTTTACTGCTGCCACCATCTGTTTTAGAGGGAAAACTGGTGGGAGTGGCCACAGGCGTGGCCAATGATAGGGTAAGGGTGGCCACGGCCACCCCTGACCCCCCATCTAGCTCCGCTCCTGTATGGCGGTTCAGACCATTGAATATAGAATGTTGGACTGTCATATAAAATTCCAACAAAGTAATTAGGACTAGATGGGAACACTATTTGCTTATCACTGCTTTTTACCTCACTTTAAATAACATCCCAATAAAGAAAATGAATAAAACAGGACTTAAGGTCTAAAAGGACATTTTTACTCTCAACCAGACAGAGAAGATTGTTCAGATTACAGTACGGCGTTCCTGCTACTGCCATAGGGAATAAGGAATGTGGAATGAGCCCAGAATATTGTTTGAAAGAGCTTCTTACAGTTCAGCAGGGACACACCCAGTGAGAGCAGCAGCTACACACACGCATTGTGTGTAGCGGTGAGTCATCACTGAAAGTTATCTGTAAGACTGAAAGAATAGACTCCAAGGTTTATCCACATGCCCCCATTGTACTAATATAACAAACAGATATAAGTTTGTCATATCTGTGGTGTGCACAGCATTAATATCGCAAATAACTGAAAAGTCTTCAAAAGCTGAAGAACCTGCAGAATCATATAACTAACAATATATTGAAGGTTTTGGTTCTAACAAGACAACTTATGGAAAGTGTGTAAAAGGGTATGAATACTTCTGCAAGTTGCTATATTGTACCCAATAAGAGAAGCACTGATTATTGGATTTCCATACATGCCTCTTAGGCCTGCATTTGTGCCTGGCTTGGCCCCTCTTAAGATCCCAGATGGTGAAAAAGTGGACTTTGATGTGAGTTAATCTCAGAGCTAACCAAAGAACCTGCCAGCTCTTTGGGGTTTGGATAAGTCTTGTACTCATGTTTTACACATTAATTCCAGGACATCCACAGGAAGCGAATGGAAAAGGACCTGACTGAGCTGCGCACCCTGATTGAAGATCACTTTGAGAAGCGAAAGAAGGAAGAGGAGGAGCTGCTTGTGCTCACAGATCGCATTGTATGTTCATGTCAGTTTCTCTGATGAGCTGATTATTTGGTTTTTAAAGACTGCTCCTGATCTTTAAGGTTTAACTCGTTGTCTTTTCCAGGAAAAACGCAGGTCTGAGAGAGCTGAGCAGATGAAGATTAGAGCTGAGAGGGAACGAGAACGGCAGGCCAGACTAGCTGTAAGTGGAGGCTGAAAACACGTCCAGACCTCAAAGGCTGTCAGCTGCCTATACAGTTTAACAAGTTAACTGTGTAATTTCAGAACTTTTTAGCTGAATAGGAAATCGTAGATCAAAGGTTTTTCTTTTCTTTTTTAATTATTAGGAAGAGAAAGCAAGAAAAGAGGAAGAAGAAGCTAAGAAGAAAGCAGACGATGATGCAAGGAAGAAAATGATTTTATCCAACCTGAGTTTTACTGGATATACGGTAGTTAACCTGCCAACTAATAAAAACAATATATACTTTTATAGAAACTGAGCATGCTTTTTTGGAAAATGTTTGAAAAATTATCTATTGATTTCCAGCAAGCACAACCTGGAACTAAAAGGCAGACAGAAAGGGAAAAGAAGAGGAAAATCCTAAATGACCGCCGCAAAGAGCTAAACATCGATCACTTGAAGGAGGACAAACTGAGGTAGAAGGAACCGATGTGTGTTTTAAAGCCTTAGTACATCAAGGAAAAGCTCCAGTTTCGGCTTCCTTTTATTTAGGAATTAACATATTCCACTTAATTTTTCTGCCTTTGCACAGAGAGAAAGCAAAGGAGCTGTGGGATTCTATGCGACAGCTTGAGGCAGAGAAGTTTGAGCTTCAGTTTAAGTACACCAAGCAGAAGTATGAGGTAAAAGTGCTGAATTGTTATTACTGTGGAAGTGCACAAACAATAAAATTGTTTGGAAATGACTCATTCCAGGATGAGGACGGTGAAAGAAATGATTTTATACAAAGAAGCTTTGCAAAACCACATTATCTGTCATCATAAATAGATCTCAGCCAGAGATCACCAGCAGATAAAGCAGCATGCAACTGTCTTACAGATATGACACCTTTCAACAATCACAATGATAAAAAGATGGTTTTTGAACAGAAGCTCATTGTAAAGAAAAACATATAATGATGAAACTTTTTCTAGTTGCATAACGTTAAAGGTGTCAGAAATTTCAATATATATATATTTTTTTTAGGGTTTCAGATTGACAGAAAATGAGCAAAATATCAGTCTCTCCTCCTTTAGAGAGTATGCATGTTTAATTGCTGACCTTTGACCCCCATAAAAAGTCATCTTCCAAGAAACTCAGGATTTTAAAAATATGGCCTCACTTTTCCTTTTAGCACACATTGCAACAACTGCTCTTGTTAAAACACTAAAGACATTTTATTGAGTGCATATTATTACAACAAAGATTAAGCGCCATAACCCCCCTCCTCTTGTCCAGGCAATGTGTGTTTTATACAATAAATCTCTGAGAAAGTTATATGTCTCTTCTGAAATGCATTATGGGGGTTCTTTGTCTTTGTAGAAAATTGTATGCTTAGTTCAAAAGGCTTTACACGATGTTCTTATTTTTATTTTTTGCCTTATCTACAGGCTTTTACTAGATGTTTTCTGCAGGCCCTATCTGCAGAGCAAACTGATCGATTCCGCCCATCATTCCTCTAGTGGGGTTGTTTAAACTATCAAACAGAAAGAAAAAAAAATGGTTTCATAGAGTGATGGGGATAAAAGAAAATATTTTCTTCCACATGTTTTATGTCTTAGTTCTTATGTTTATTCATACATACAATAAATATGCTTCTCCATGCAGAGTTACAAATAAGTTGTTACCTAGAGATACGGATCTTTTTGGGTGTTTTTTCAGACAATATTTTTTATCTTTTTTTCTTTGTCATTAATCTCCAACCAGTTGAGTAAGTTTTTCTTCGTATATGTTTTTACACAGATCACAGTGCTCAGAAATCGTGTCAGTGACCACCAGAAAATGTAAGTCTGCTGTACCCTTTTTTGTTAAGATGAAGTTAAAAAAAAATAAAATAAAATAGGTTTCTTATGTGTGCTACAAAAAAACACTATTACAACTACAATAAGGGAAATTTTCTTTAAAAGACTAAATGAACAAGCATGGTAGCAATGGAGGGCCATAAAAATTACCTTCTCATAATTTGTCACGTTCTTGCTGCCAACCTGATTGTAATTTATGGAGTTTGTCGATAAACTAACATAAATTAGTCTATACTTTCAAAGTGAGAGTCAAACAATGTCTGATTTTCTAAATAAAAATCGGAAAAATTTGGAGAACATGCTTTATAGAAACCCACTTTCACCGTGATTCAAATACATTCTTCTGCTCAAAGGGAAGTTTTCAGCCCAGTCTCATATTTTTCTGCTTCTTAAAGTTTTTGTTCCAGGACTTGGTCTGTATTTAGATTCATCCAATATTTTTGGTCTACTCTGTTGGGCTTTCCTTACCCTACTGAAAAGAACCTGTGCAGAACCCCAACATGTTGTACCACCATGTTTTATGGTAGTTCAAATGGTAGGTTCTCTTTTGTTTTTGTATTTGCGTTGCAGAGCTGGGTTTCTTAACTGTTTTCTGGGTTCATTTTATCCTTTATTTCAGTAACGTGTCTCTTGAAGGCAATTGGAAATTAAATACAAGCAAATACAAATTTGTGGTTCTCAACTGGAAAAATTGTGAAAGGATTTAGTCCTTAAATTTTCTGTTCACCTTCTCAGCTGAAACACACTGGCTACAAAGTAAGAGTGACCAAAAGTATGCAACCAATCAGCTGCTCAAAGATTCCTAAATCAGCCATGCATATAATATAGGGATAGGAGGACTTATTTCAGCCAGTATGTCATTTAATCTCTGCTCACATACCTAGGAATTAATTAATTAAACCCTAGCTTGCAGCACATGCTGTCCCCGAAATATGATTACAGACAAAATTCAAATGACGTCTTTGTTTGCATGCGTGTCCTTTCAGCTGCTCCCACATTCAGCAGGAGCAATTTGTTCTTGTTCACACACTAGGCAAAGTTTTTATGCTGGCTGCACTTCCTCACACAACTGGAATTTTTACCCAGATCCTCCGCATTGCAAATATTCATACAGTACTTCACCAAATAGATTTTACAACTTTCTTTGCGTGAATTTTGCAATAATTCATTAAAACTGCTATTTTCAAATTTGAAAATAAAACACAGTAGTAAACTGTAGTAAAAACTGCAACATTCTTAGCAAAAAAACCTCACTGGCCGGTGAGTGGCACAGTCATGCTCTCCCTCTGTACTTGCTATTTGCTGTACTTGCGGATTAGCAGGTGTGCAAATGCAAATGCAGTAGCAAATAATTAATTTACCAGACTCGTTTGCTCCAAAGACTAGTGCAACTTCTGTAAAGTTTCAGAGCACCTTTGCTGCCTTGTGTTGGCACCAATGGTCAACAGCTTGCCAGACGAACTTTAGTTTCCTTTTTTGTTTTTCTGACTCAATTTTGAGAAGTGTAATGCTGAGAAGAAGCCATTTCTTCCCTATGTGGAGCTAGAAATGCCTGTTTTGCTTGTCATTTGGCTTCAACCTACTATTCCTCTTGATAATGGCATCATAACCCAAAGTGAATATTTTCATACTTTGGACCTCTAAAAATTATTTCTTTCTTTTAATTTTTTGCTACAACTTTTTTGATGTAAAAAGCTGTAGCTATTTCCTTCAAATGCTTACGTTTTTCATGTTCTGGATGACAGGTCATTAAATAATGGTTTTCCAAAGTTGTTTGTATTTTGCTAAACTGTTTATTCACATCAGTTCACAAATGGTTGATCAGATAAACGTTACCTAAATAAGAACAAATATGGAATGTAATTGCAAATAAGTATATCTTAAAAAAAAAAAATTTAAACATTTAATTTCAACATGTAATAAAATATTTCATTTCATTTTCTATGGAGCATTTAATTAATTTTACATTTCATCAAGTAATGGTACATAGTTTATTTTTTACATTTATTCATTTCCTGATACATTTCTTGATTTGTTTTTGGCCTCTTTGACACTCCATAATTCCGTAACTTCATGAGCACTACAGAAGAATTTCTCTAGAAATAATAATAATAAAAAAAAAATTTAATTAAGACAATAAGAGTGTCTCAGTATGATTAGTGTTCTGTCCTTTATTTTTCAGAAGATACTGAATTGAAATCAAGTCCTCTTTTTTACATTTTTGTCTTTTTAGATGTTTCACTATCCTATTTTCTTAGAGACCTGATTCAGGTTTTTTGTATCTGATGTATACGAGATTTAGGTAGTGAGACTGTAAAGCATATATTCAAGTAATATTCACAGAATGCAATATTTTTTTTAGCAGCACCTTTTTTATTATTTAGTTTGTTAACTGGTTTCCGCTGTTGTTACTTAAATATTGATGAACAGCAAGCTGGAAAAAAATCTTTCGCACATTTTTTTAGGGAGCTCTGCAGAAGTTAACTTTTTGTGCTTTTTTGCATCATACATGATATAAGTCTGTCAGATTAGATTTTTTTTTTTTTACTTGAATAAAACTTGGATGCCTTACTATATCAGTGGTGTCTAAATTGTTATCAGCCAATTTGTGATTTCAGGAGGAACTTTTATAGACTTCTCCATAGGTTTAAGAAATTACACCATGTTTGACATTTACATCCCAAAGTTAAGCAGAAAACTTTTTGAAATAATATCACAAACACAAACCATCTTTCTGCACATATACATTAAAAATAAATACATGTTATTCGCATCAGTGACTATGCCAGCAATACTTTAATAGTTAAACATTTAAATACAAATTATTAAAGTCTCTGGAGTCAATTTTACTAGACAGATACCAGTTACATTTTAAGGTATTTTTACATGGGAAAATGTTGTGGTTTGTGTTCTTCTGAATTTGGGAATTTCAGCTGACTTGAACTTTCTTTTTAGTTCAAAGGGCAGTCGGAGCAAGCGAGGCCTGAGGAAGTGACATCTGCTACAAAAACAGCCAACATCAGTCAACCTTAGAGAAGTGACTTAAAATTGATGACCGTTTGAACATCTGAAGAAGAACCTACATCAAATTCATCAATATTTTGTATTCTGAAAATATTACATATTCTGCATGCTAAGATTTTTGGAATTTATGAAAGAAAAACAATTCAACTGGGTTTCTGGGTTTAGTGAAGCTGTAAGAAGTCGCTTTTCTGTTTGAATAAAAAAATAAAATAAAAAAGGGTTGTAAGATCTCTGAAACCTTGCAAGCTGGTTTTAAAGAGCATACGATTTAAACCTCTGAACTCTGGTTTCAGTCCCCCTCTTTGTGCTCTTTTTTGGCACTACAAACCTACAGTTTTCTATAAATGTGGTAATCCAAACAAATTCACCCTTGTGTTATTAACTTATTATTTTCTTTTAAACTGTATCTGACTAACATCTCCAAAATTCAGCACACTGCAAACATGTGCATACTTATGACTTGTTTTTAAAAAAAAAAGAAATTTAGCAGTTAATCATAAGGGTGAGGCAAAAGGGAGGCAGTGATAATCTGACCAGATGCATTTTAAACGTCTGCAAAATTCAGAAACAATCACAGGGATTTACATTCAACACTGGTTATCCTGCAGGGAAATGACGACAACTTTTAGATTAAATATCTGCCGCTTTTGCCCCATACACTGTAACCCTGTTTTGGCTTTATTGCTACGATCTTGACATCTAATATTTGGATTACACATTTGGAAATATGAACAAAACAAAAACATGCCACAAAAAAACTGGTACAGTCAGTATCATTTATAAAACATGTTTTATACATATGCTGATTTCACACAATCAAAATCATTTTTTTAGCATTGCTACATTATACTAAAATACATTTCAGTGCAAAAATTATATTGCTGTATTTTAAAACACAATTTACATCGAGCAAAATTTGAACGTTAAGACAAAAAAAGCTAATTTGCAGTAAGGAATTTCGCTGCCATTTCCTACCTCAACCTTCACCTTTTCTTCCTACATTAATCCCCTGTCTTACCTTGACAATTTAGCAAGTGTATGCCTGAAGAACAGGTTATCTGGCCAAAACGCGGGCATACGTTGGATAAGTTATGGGTCCGTTTTGTATAATTTATGAGCACGCTGAAGTACGTTGGGACCCGTCGACCTACGGCAAGTATGTAGAGTTATGCTATAAGGGCCATAAGTTACAGGTAAGTTATGTGATCGTTGACAGACGTTAAGTGTAAGTTACTCATAGGTTGTGGTGTCTAGCTTCTCCAAAACCTATGAATATAGTGTGCATAACTTATGCTTAACTTATCAAGAACTTATCTCCAACCCATATCAACATATTTGACGTGTTCCAGGTGACAAGTGTTTCTAACTTACTGCTATTGCATAATGGCGTATTGGCAGCATTTTGGTATAAAAGGGGGTTCACAGGAGGAAACTGTCAGTACTCCTCCAGACTTTAGACGTGCCACAAGAGATGGCAAGAGAAACCCACGGCCACAACCAACAAACTTCCTAGCAAACATAATGCTGAATCTGCTGCAACTGCAAACCCTTTTTCCTAACTTTTTCTTCTTTGTTTTTATTTATTTATTTATTCTTTTTTTTTTCTTTTTTCAAGCAGCTAGGTTAATACCGCGATCAAATAAATCTCTTTTTATGCAGGCTGGATGCCTCCGGGCGCATTGGTGCCCCCCTTAGGACACTGGTTTGTGACATTTCATGGGCACTATGCAGCCCGTGCGTTATGCATGTTAGACTGTCATTGGACATATGTTCTGGACTCCTTATGAATATGCTACATATATGCCCAAAATTGAAAAAATACATAGAAAGGTCAGCTTATGCCAGCGTTTTAGAAGATTCTTGTACATCAGGCATAGGCTGGCTAAATCGCCATAGTGTGACAGGGGCTTTGGAAACATGATCTTTCAGCATATGCATAGTGCAGGAATGCTTATAAAGCTTATGAATAATTATCTCTGTGATGTAGGAGGGGATGATGCTCTGCCTCAGTGACTCCCAGTCCTGTGGATGCTCAGGTGCCGTGCAGGTTAGTCATTTTAGCATTTAGCTGTTAAATTGTGCTAATCCACAATATGGAGAGACCTGTGTGCTGCCATGGTGGTGTCATTCACAAATAAAGACTTGGTCAACCCTTGCTGCAGTAAAAAAAAAAAAAGACACGTAAATCAGTATTTCAAAATTAGTAATTACTAAGATTAGCTAAAATAAAGCATTAGGAAAGTTGTTAACTATTCATTATCCGGCTAATAAAACAATTATTCTTAAGCTGCCACATGCATATGCAAACTCAGGTCAAAGTATGATTCATCAAACCTGACCTACTGGATTCCACTGCATTATAAGTTTAATTTATTCTCTCTCGCTTTCATGAGAACCATGTCTAATCCAGCAGCCTTTACTTCTGTTCTCAGAAATTCCTGAGTAAGGTGTGGACTTTTGTGTCTAATGTAGGTTACTCAGAGGAGACACATTAGAGGACACACCCAGAGACAAGCACGTTTTGGCACTCAACTCACCTTTTTGAAAAAGCTTTGAAGCTCTTTATCTGACCAGATTTTGACGAGAAGAACTGCAGCAGCCTTGCTTGATTTGGGAAAATACCTAAAAAAATTAGAAAAGAAAAGTTCAAGCATATGGCTCATATGAAAGCTAACGAAAGGTATATTCATTTCAGGCACATGTGTAAGAGTTCATTCTCTCTGCATTAATGTCACCTTACATGTTTTGGCTGATGTTGCTGAGGGATTTTATGAAGTTGGTGCCTAAATATCTCTTGGTCATGTCAAGGTCTTTCAGAACCAGGCAACTGGTGGCATTGCAAGCCATAGCAAGGTTGTCATCAGACTCGTTTGCTCCAGACGTGCCTTCTGCGAGGAGACTCAGCAACTCTGGGAGAGCTTTACGGCCTAAAGTAACAAGGCCAATAAAAACACATTTAGTGTTGAACATAAGTTAACACTTGCAAGGCTGCACCTGCTTGTTCACAATATCAGATTTCAAAGACACACATATTTGCGGGATTTCACCAAGGAAACCTCACATACACGTAGTTCTGTTTTGACGTGCTTCTTACCAACTGCTTGATGCAGGTTTGGGTTCTTGATCAAATTTCCAACCAAAGCCAGTGTGGTCTTCTGCAGGTTGACTTTCTTTGAGTTTATGAGGGGCGCAATAACCTGCATGCCATTCAGTTTCTGCACAATGATCTGGCTTATTACACTGGAGACCTGAAGAAAGGCAAAAGCAGACCCTTTTATAATCTTTGTAATGTTGTTTTAAAATTGAGAAAATGTAAAACTAAATAAGAAGTCTGAATTCAGGTTAATGTTACATATAAAAAAACATTAAAAGTTCAAGCAGAGAATGTCATCTCAGTTGAGGAATAATCTATCTCAGTGGCATCTGGCCAACTTCACACCCTTTATTACTGAGTCACATTTATCATCGTCACAGTAAGGAAGAAAAGTATTTCAACATTTGTCTTGGCTGCTTTGGCACTGCAAGCGTGAATGTTATTTGTGTTTTCCGTTTTGACATAGAAACAAGATCCTTGCATTTCTCTGAACTCTTCACAGGGTCTCGAATGACATTAAACAATTCAAACCCAAGAATTTCTCATACACAATATTTTTAACCTTTCTATGTCAGTTTTGGACCTGTAAAAAATAATCTCTATTGTACTACGATGTATTTATTTATTTAATAATTTTGATTTTTTTTTTTTCAAATGATCAATCATAATAATAGGACAAAATTTCAAACTGTACATATAATTTAACTAAATTCTGTGTTCTTTTCCCTATATTTAAAAATATAGTTACTATTCAACCCAGTTCAGAATAGACTATGAGCATGTTATTGTTATGATCTTGCTAATAGGCAGGTGAATTAAATGAGCTAATTGCTTATTTAATTCACCTGCCTAACTCTGCCTGTTTTCTCATTACCGTTTATCTTATCCACCTGCTCTAGTTTTTATTTAACCTGCCTGCTTCCAGTCATCAGGTGGAGATTATTTCCGAGCCAGTGATGAGAGTGTTTTAGCGTTACTGTTTCTGATTACCTAATCCTGACCTGTTCTACCTCTCAACCACTGAGCCTGTCTGTTTCTGTCTGATCCGTTTGCCTGACCTGTCTTTGGACTTCTGCTGGATTCTGCCTATTTGCTGAACTTGGAGCCGTTTCCTGTTACCGACCTGGTTTTCCTTCGGAACCTCTTTAAACTTTAATCTCCTGGCTCTAAAACCTGAGCACATCCTCGACATCAGCTTTGGCCTCTGGATTATCCTGCCTTCCTTTGTCTGCTCAGATCTTATCTCCTGCTTGTTCTACGTCCTCTGCGACTACAGTGTCTCGGATTCTAAATGCGGCACCCGGCATGTCTTGTTTGACAGCTGACCAGCTGGTATCAACCTCGGATCGAACTAAAGGACCAGCCTCGCTCAGATTATCGTGGTCACTAACCTGTGTTTTCCTTCCTGCACAGTTTCCTGCCTTAGACGCCCTAGCTTCTCACTACAGATTCAATGTTTTTTTTGTTTTTTTTTTAAAAAAGCCTTTTAGATATCTGCCTTGAATACCGGGTTCTCTTTTCTGAGCCGTGACAATTACATAAAATACATTTCAAATGATCACTTTTCACAGGCATGATAAACTGATTTACACAGTAAATATAACTTACAATGCCTTCACGTGCAGTGAGATTGTGCAGTGTCCCGCAACAGGCTTCCTGAAGCTCTTCTCCCGTGCTCAAGCTAAGCAGTGAAAGGTAATCCTGCAGCGTTTTAGAGTGGATCAAAAGGGATGGTCCTTTAGGCTGCGGATCCTCAATGACTGCAAAGTCAAAGGGACGCTTTGAGGAAAAAATAAACAGAACATTATTAATTTAATAAAGTATTTTGTTAAGGAATTTTGATAATGGTGACAATGCTACATAATAACACAAACTAAACTTCTTCCTCTGTCTTCTACATTTCAGAATTGTTTTTCATCATTAGAGATGAAGTAGTAAAAATTAAATGCAAAATGAAAGAATTTATACAATATGCAGTTTCAAGACAAAGGGCCAAATACTTATTGAGTTTTGATTACGAGTCTGTAAGTATTCAGCGCAAGGGGATCCGATAAAATTGTCTGACTCACCTCCACCTGTGGAAGTTTGGTTTGTGAACTGAAGCAGCCAACAGGGTTGCTGTTATTTGGACTGGTGCTCCTGAGCTGACTCCTAGCCAAGGTATTTATATTGGTGAACAGCATCGGAGCCTCGTCCTCCAGTCGGAAGGTCAGATTGTGCAGGATGCCCACACAGTTTTCCAAACACTGTCAACACATTAGAAAACATGTGAGTTATTGTCACACATTCACAATGAGATACAAATGTAAAACAGCAGTTTAAATAAAGTGACATCTTTATTTTTGTTTTAAGTGAGCAATAAACACTTTAGGTTTTTTTTTTTTTTTTTTTTACCTCATCATTGGTTTTTTCCTTCTCTAGACAGTCTTTGATGTAAGCGGTTAAAGAGTCAATCAAACCTCGACATTTCCTCATCGTCTGCCTGCTGCTCTCCTTGGCACTGCTGAGGTTTCTGTTGAAATCAAAGCCAAAGTAAAACAACAAGTAAATGTCTGACTAATGATTAAGCTGATTCATTTAAAATATGTTTTCTAAAAACACAAAGCTTCCAAAGCCAGGCTGACACAACTAGGGAAGAATACATTTGGAAGTATTTACCAAAGTACCCTAGGGTTTCCAACAAGTTTCTGTTGTTGAAACAATGTGAGTCATATGTCAACAAGTTATGAGAATCATTAAAAGTTAATCAAACAGTATTTTTATGATAAAAGCAGGCCAATGCATATCCTGCAGAATAAGCCAAAATAAATAAAACAGAAAAAGTCATCCGATTCCAGCTCTTGCATAACGCCCCTGGATGTCAGTCAAAGATTCAACACTGCAGCCTTGCATTTACTGATGAAGTAGATAAGGTGCATGTCTTTATGCTACAACACATTTGGAACAACGGTTTGGGTAATCTAACATCAGTTGTTACATGGTTAGACGTGAAAGTCCCTCAGACTCCCTAAATAAACTTGGCAAAAGCTTTAATACAGCAGAAAACACGTGAGGGAGATCAAATTATTGTAAAAACAACAAACGAACTGCTGATGAGCCCAATGGGTAATTTCTCTTTCAGTTGTATTAAAAACTATTGTCACTAAACACTTTTTAAGTAAATTTTGTAAAATTATTTAGAATTCAGTAAATATATATAAAAATTAGGGCTTGGAAATAAAGACATTTTATAAACCATTAAACTTTACTGTTTATGGGGATGTTATTCTTGAAAAATCTTGTTTTTCTCCAATGTAATCCTTTGTGTTGAGTGACTATAGTTTCTCCTCTTCTTCTTTAGATGTGAATTAAAACTGATAAACAAGCACATTGTGTAATATCACTGGCAGCAAACACAATGTGTGTTATATTTTCACTTTTTACCAGAGCAGTGCCTGCCAAGTTTTTTGTTTTTGTTTTGTTTTGTTCTGTTGTTGTTGTTTTTTTTAAACAGCATGTTTCTCTGCTTGGATTTAGCTTGACAAGATCAGTTTAGTTTTATCAAGCTTGACTATGATCTAGTTGACGAGGAATCTTCACAGATAAGCTTGGATTTAGTTACACCTCGAATTTGAGGGATTGAAACCAAAGCAGGTTTTTAAAAGGGATTTCTGTTATTTGTTGTCAATAAATAAAAGGGGGAAAAAAAATATTTACTGCATATGGAATGAAAATATCTGAGATTTTTTTCAGCCATAATCCAGTTTAGGTATTTATACTAATTTAAGAATTAGAAATTAGTATAAAAGACCTATAAGAAAATTGGAATTCAGTGCCAACAAGAAAAGCCCGGATGACTAAATCTCTACTTCCAAACTAATAATCGGTCCTATTTAAAAAAAAATAGGACAAGCTCTACAAACTGCTCTGAATATGTTTTAAATGTTTGTGTTGTGGTTAAAATCCAGAATGAAGCTTAAAAACGTCTAAGAAGTGATGAACGTGCAGTAAAATGTAATCCAACACTTTCTCACCGAAGACATCCCGTGGTGTGTAAGAAGACATCTGGATCCCTGATTGTATCTCCGGACCTTGTCGTGTAAGGCAAGATCACATGCTCCATTAAGACAGGCAGAGCGTGCTTCAGCAGATCAGGCTTCAGGTTGTCGGCAGAAGACAAATTCCACAACAGACCTGGAGACAAAAGAAAAGCATAATCAGTCAGAAGTATTCCTTTACATAAAAAGTTTACATTTTTGAATTTAGTTAAAACATCTTGTTAAAATGTATTAGCATAATCAAGTTTCTTCTCATAACACTGCAAACAAAAATATCACTTTTTTTAACAGAAGTGAAATCAAATAGATTTTGACCTACTTGAAGCACAAGCATTACTTTTCAAGGAACCAGAATTCAGCAGTATTATGTACACCAAGACAAGCCACTCTTTGTCTGACCCGTTTGTTTGGTTTATTGTATGCATGTACCCATACATTTGAAGGTATACATTTCAGGGCCTTACTATTTACCTGTGAGCTGCTTATCCAGATCTACAGACTCTGAATCTCTGAGCTGATTGGCAACCTCAGTGATGCCGTCACAGCGATGGATCTCCTCTTTGTTTTTGTCGCTTTTAAAGGACAGATTTCGCAGAGCGGCAGAGGCCGTGTGTTTGACCTGTGAGTTGTGGCTGTGCAGCAAGCCGACAAGAGGGTGGATCCCCTTAAGCTTTAAGACCTGCAAAGGAAAAACACATGGATTAAAACATATGAAAAACTTTACATCTCAGATTTTATTTCTAATTTTATGCAGTTTTTATTTAATGATTCATGTTGCCTCTATGCAACTGCGATTTACTTTTCTTTTTCTCAAGTACAGCCCTTTGAATTGTCATGCTACTAAATTTTGCTATATAAACAAACTTGCCTCACCTTGGTAACAAGGCTATCTAAACAATGCCTCTGTTGAAAATGTGGAGGTGCTACACTGGAAAAACGATCTAAAAAATAAGTGAAAAGGTCTTAAATTAAGCGTATTTACCCTTAATTTGAGAAGGTAAATGAGATAGTTTGCAAATGGAATGAAAATTTTTACTCTTAAAATAAGATATTTAGATAAAATGCACTTGAAATAAGACAATTATCACTGTGTTTTGTTATTTTAATCGTAAATTGTCTTGTTCCATTGGCAAAATGTATCTTTTACCTCCTCAATCCAAGAAAAATGCACTTATTTTAAGAAAAAAAGATTTATCTAGATTTCATTTTATTTTTCCAGTGTATGAATAAATTGTAATTTTTATAATAAATGTTGATACTGTTAATCTTCATTTAACTTCCAACCACTTTGTATGTTGATGTTTTTTTCCTCCCTGCTCTCCCCTACCCAGGACTTAGCATATCCTGTGCTGGATTCAAATTACCCAACAAAGCAGAAAAGACTCACAGCAGCTCTCCTGTTTGCTTTCTTTCTCATAACCCTAACATTTAGTGTTCACTCCCACCATTAAAGCTATGGTGATATTTTCCTTCTTTTGCTTCAATTTCATTTCATTTCTTAATGAAATCAAGACAATTAGTTTGTCTCTTCCTCCTAAAAGGACAATTTACTTCTGTAGCATTTCTGCAGATTTGACATTCAATGAAAGCTTCGACTTTTTGATACCACAGGTACTAAGTGGTTTTGCACTTCTGGTTAACATAATACAAAAATAAGAGTTGATTAGTTATTAAATCAAGCCAAAGGACAAGAAGTCATAGCATGAGTTTCAGCCAACTGTTGCTTTTCAATGAATTTCCTAAAGTTACTTTATCCTGTTTCAGGTTGCAGGAGGTATTTCCCCGGGCTTCAGTGAATAATGGAGGGATAAAAGCCGAACAGGTCACCAATCATGGACCAACACAGAGAAAGGGAAAACCCCTCACACATTCACACTACGGCTACAACTAACAATTATTTTGCAAAGCGATTAATCTGTCAATTTTTTTTTTTCCATTAATCGATTCTTAGTCAGATAGCGAAAGGTTCCTTAAAGAATTTTTACAGGTTTTTTTTGTTAGCTGTTGAGAATTTCAATAATCGATTAATCAGATCAATTGTTTCAGCCCCAATTTACACACATTTTATGCAGACAGGGCCTGAAAAAACCCCCCCAAAAAAACAAGATTTAAAAGGTCTTGAATTCCCCCTCTGAACACCAACCACCAAAAAAACAATACTGCAAACTCTGGGGTAAACCTCGGATCAGTTTGTGAAGCGTAGAAAGCATATTGTATCTAATTTAGTTTTGTAATAACTTTCTTTAACTTAATCATCTTATAGCATATACAACATGTGAGAAAACAGTCCAGAAAACATGAAGCACCTCTTCTTTTGCTTTGTCGCTAATGAAAGTATTGTGCTGAATATAGGAAGCGCCACAGTTTTGATAATTTTCATCATCGCTGGTAAGAAACTGCACAGCCTCCTTCATAGTGATGTCAGCATTTAAAATGTTTCCATTTGATCTAAAAAGAAAAAAAAAAGAAAAAAACATATTTAGTGCATTTCGTAAATAAATGCAACCTTTAAATAAAAGTTTGTTAACTGATCGATTGTTCTTTCAATAAGAGAAATTAAGAATGACTCACCCAGAGTTTATTTTAGTCTTGGATGAAGAGTCAGTAGTGGTTTGCTGTGTGGGAGTCTTGCTCATGTTAGGCTGGCTGCCTTTATACTGACTTTGTTTGTGAGTCAGACCAAAGCCGTTTGCAGGGTACAGAGGTTGGGACTGGGAGATGGTCCTCTGCACAAAGTGATTGCTGGTGCTACGCTGATTCCTGTAGTTGTTCCTGCTGGCCTGCTGTTCTGTGGTGGGGTTTCTGGTGTGTGGGACAGACAGCTGGGTGCCATATCTGCCCCAGGCCACACCGGGTTCACTGCGGCTGGTGTTAGCATGACCCAGAGCCACAGTACTGCCAGCAGTGGGTTGAGTTCTCTCAAAGCGATACCCTGATGTCACACTCTTTTTCCTCACAGTAGATCCTAGGTTGGTGATTGATTGATGATTGCTTATGTTTTTGTCTATGGTGAACTGTAGAGGTTAAAAGGAAAAATAAACAGGGTCTTCAGGAGGGATGAGGCATTATGTATTATTGGGACAGCAGTAAAAAAATGACAAACAATAAAAACCCAAGTGCGTTAAAATCCAGTGGTACAACACCTGGCAGCCTTTGGTGAGAACTTTAGGTTTGTTATTTTATTATTTTGGAAAAGAATGAAAAAATGAAGAGTATCTTAAACTATTCTCTCAAATGTTATTGAGAGATTTTGAGGCATAGTTTATTGAATGTATTTTTCGATTGAGTTTACTATCCCACTGCAATGTCTCACAAGTAGGAGTGAATTCAATCAGATGATATATATACACATCAATGAAAAAACTTTTACAGGGTTTATACAGGAATGAGTAACTCTAATTTAATGCTTTTTAATGACATCAACAAATGTCGGCAAAATCCTTTGTCATTTTTACCGTGTACAGGCTGCAGCTATGTGCCAAATTTCTCGTTTTCCAGCCACTTTTGTTTTAATTTGCATTTTCCCCATTCCCTAGCTTTTTCTCTGCCTCAAGCTTCTTTTCCGAACAAACTGGTTTATGATCAATCCTGAAGCAGTTCCGCGCAAATATATTGCTATATAATATATCTGACCCAATTCTTTTTATAAACTTTTTTTTTTTTAAGGATTTTTAATTGCCAGGTTAAAAAAAATTATAATTTAATGACTTTTAATGATTTTTAGTGACCCGTGGAAACCCTGTTTTCTATCTAAAGGAACCCAGCGGATTGCATTGAGCCATTCATTTACTGAGTTTACCGTTCATGGATGCCCTGTAACAACAGTTGAAATTTGCTTGCATGGCGTCATTGACTTTGCAGCAATCCTCGTATAGAGCATGCATGTAGCGCCAGTGGAGAGGAAAACATCCCTTTAAGAGGAAGAAGTTTCCAGCAGAACCCAGCTCAGCGTGAACAGCCCATGGAAGGTAAATGCAGAACTTTGCACTTGCTAAGTAAATAAGTGAAAAAAATCACTTAAACTCTAAATCGGAATAATGTGAATACAAAGTTCTGGGAAATCACACAAAGTGAATTGCAAATTTGTTTTAAAATAGCAAATCACAAAACGTTTCATTTTAGCCTAATGTCAAGCTTCTGATCCCTGGAGTAAAGTCTAGACTCTAGACCGAAGCAAAGATTCAACATACGGCAAGCTCAACAAAAACAAAAGAAACAAATCGGGGCATTTCATTTGCTTCATTAGAAGATAAACAAAATAAATTCACACCTTTTCAAACTATCAATACGGGATAATACAAGCACCAAATATGAGATCAGACGTCAAACAGATTAGAAATATGAAGGAAAAATAAACTCACACTTTTTGAGAAACCATTGCTGTAGAAGGCGCTTCCATTAGATGTGTGGGACGGTGTCTTTACCCCATCTGTAAACACGGAGTCATACACAGGGCCTACGGAGAGATGTTATGTGTTATCAGTTGCTATCTTGTCACAGAATACACACCTTGTTTACAGTATAACCTGTGATTTATATCCTTTGGCTGTGGGAAATAAATAGAAGCTGCCTCTGATCTGTGACGATACTTCTCATCCATTGCCCATCCATTGTATTTTGAATTACTATAAAGATGCCGCTAAATTTTGGTGGTAGAAGAAAACCAAAAACTGAAGTTTGAGCACTAAGTGTCTAAATTCTCATTTTATACTGATATCCGTGTGGCCAACAATGAAAATCTTAAATTCATGACAACCAACAATTGTACAGCAAGTAGAATTTTGCACACATAAGAATAACTAAAGCTGCAGTTTTTAGCAGAGTGTAATGACAGCATTTGTGTCCAAACACTGATGTGCCCAGATAAAATCTTCATTTAGTTGCTTACAACAAAGTTTTAAGTTACATTTTCTGTTCTTGTTTTAGAGAAATCATAAAAAATAATCAATAAATATGTAACCGTATTCTTATTTTTGGCATGAAGTGACACTGAATGGAGAAGAGTTTGGAACAACCAGTTAAACATTAACCCACTGTATTCATTTAAAAAAAGAAAAGAAATAAAGTGCGTCAGCATTTCAAAAATGTCCTTTTTGGGATTTTAGTTTTTTTTTAAACCAATAATTGATTAAGATATACTAGATGACTTATTTTCCCCTTGTTATATTAAATGAATCCTTTTCTAAAAGCAAGCAGGTTGTTACTCTCTCTGTGGGGCCTAATCATTGCCAGATCATTACCTATTTCCTGGTAACTCATTTTAAATGTTGAAAGTAAGCAACAATCTATCTCATTATCTTTTCAGACAGGATATACAATCTACGTTCACACTGCAGCTTTTATGATGGGGGTCATAAATGAAATGACTAATCAATGGGAAATCTTTGGACTTTTAGTATTATATAAAGCGTAAAGTGTGTAGCCTTATTTTTTGTCTTTCAAAAACAGTTTACACTTAAGTAAACAGCGTCACTAAGGAGTGTAAACAGTCAAAGAAAGGATCCTCTTACTTGTTGGGCTCATAGAAGTAGATCCGCTCCTGCTGCTGTTGCTCGAGTGCCTCGACTTTATCCTCCTGACAGTTTGCACTTGCGCCTTTACGCGCTGCTCTCCGGATCGGTACTGATTCCCTGACGGCAGAGCCAGCGACGTGTCGTCCACATTCTCAATGGAAATCGCCGATTTCAGCGGATCGGCCTTCGACATTTTGCTCATCTTTCGGAGGAAGAAAACAACATCCAAAGAAGATGGGAGCTAAGGAAGAGCTGAGAGCAGGCTGGGAGGTAAAGCTCACCTTGCCTTGCCCTGCCCTGCCCTGCGCAATGAGACCGCGCCCACACGCAGCCACAATAGACCTACAAGACTGGACTCTTCATTTTCCTGCAGGCTAGACGTGCCGTACGCGGCTGTAAACTCCCTTTTTCTCTACAACGTGAGAAAAATGTGGAAGTGGTTGCAGAAATGATTCACTTACACTTTGGCTCCAGATTCTAGGGAAAGTTTATTCCTATGACCTAACTGGATACATGCGTAAATGCAACTTTAATGCTGATTATGTATCTACAAATACAAGTGCTTTACATGAAAAAGTAAAATAGAAGCAAAATAAAAGATCATAAAGATAAAAACACAATAAAAGTAGAAGTAGAAAACAGTGCAAATAGGGTGATTTTATTTTACAGCATATTGTAAATAGAAAGATTTAAAGACAGGAGCAAACAGTAGAATGCTTCCTGAAGACTGCTTCTAAGTTTCCTTAAAGTCTCAGCAGTTTTGCAGACATGCTAATATTTGTAATAATTAATGAAGAAGAAGCCCTGACTAATTATAAAGAACAAATACAAAAAACAAAAATGCAGTTTCTGGATATGCCTTGCATGTGACTAACATTTCAGTATTTCAAATTCATGCTATTTCTCTTCTGTAGAGAATCTGAACCTTTGATTTTTCATTGATGTAAGCCATATCAATCAGAACTCAATATTTAAAATATAGGTTGAATCTAGAATATATTAGTCTTACTTTTTTATCCAAATTAGAATGAGTTTTAGGACATTATTTTTTATTGAGATAAATTAGGATAAAACCAAGAAAAGCAAAATACTTAATATTACAAAACAGTGTAATATAACCAGCCAATTATAATATGTTAAGTTTAAATTAAACATTTATTTTTATTCTACAGGAAAATTTAATAACTGAATCCCTATGTTGCTAAAATGGTACATTATGCTGGTGAAGATTCTCAGTCATACAGGTCATAGTCATTCCGTAAAAGTTTAAAAAAACAATCCACTGGACTTTGTTTCTAAGATTTATTGCATATATGTGAGAAAGTAAATACAATTTTGTGTAAATGAATTAAAGATGAAAGCTTGGGAGTTAAGAAATAAAGGATTACGTAAAAGGTTAAATTGTATTACAACATATATAGGTTATACTTTTCCTCTCTTAGTTATTCATTATTATAACATAACCATTACCCATCATAAAGGAAAAAACATTTTTAGATTTTGGTGTTTTTTTTTGTTTTTTTTTTGTCTAGGCAGTAGTTGGCTTTATATTTAAACAACTTTGAAAAGCAGACAGGAAATGGGATTTAAAGAAAGAGCCAAAGGTCAGCAGTCCGGAAAAGATTTCTGATGTTCAGTTATATTCAAACTTAACTCTTTAGCAATAACTTTTTAACAACGTAGGTTATTGCTTTGAAATTATATGATACCATCTAAATTTGAAATCAAGTCTGACTGTTTGCCTCCTTCACACCAAAACTTTTAAAAAGCAGCCTTTAAATTTGATGTTCTATTCATGTGTGTACTCAAGGAAGAAAAGACTTTCAAAGTACCACACCCAGGAGCGGTGCTGCCCTCTGTGTGTTCAAGTGGCAGCTGGAAAACTTGGCTTAAGCCTAATCAAACTGTCCTCCATCTTTGCTGTCATGTTAGTCTGGTTTCTGTGGCAGAGGGCAGTTAAAGTAAATCAATTAAATATACAAAGGCTGCCCTCTAGTGGTGAATATATGAATCTTTTTGTCAGACACTGACCACCCTATATTGGTTGGTCAACTTTCTTAGCATCCTTTTTTTTTCTTGTTACAGTAAAACCTTAAAAATTAAATGTAGTGAATGTAGACCATAGTTCTGGAATGTTAGCAAAATATTTATAGTTTTCAATTGTCTTTTCTTTAAAGACAAAAGAAAGAATGGTGTGGTTTTTATATCTATGCAGTCCTTGTACGCCCTGTCTAGGAATCTGTCACTATTAATTACCTTCAATAGTCTCCTTAAGGTAAATCTGCAAAAAGTGTTGTTCATTCAAAATGTCAGGTCTGACTAGGAGAGCAGAAACAACCAAAAGGCTAAAGGAGGAGCTGCAGACCTCCACATCTTTGAGTCTTTTCATGGGATAAAGGGTTAATTCTGCAATCCAAAACATTTGGCATTTTTGGAAAAGGAAGCAAATAAAATACAATACAGGGAATGGTTCCAGGAGGCAAGAAGACAAGTACAAGAAAAATAAATAAATAAATAAATAAATAAATAAATAAATAAATAAATAAATAAATAAATAAATAAAATGTGGATAGAATTGAGCTTAGAATAAACCAAAGAGAATTGCATAACCCCGAATAGTCATCCTAACAGTTCAGCACAGATCAACTGTGTGGCAACATGGGATAAATGTTCAACATGATCCTGAGGCTAAAGAAAGTATAACAGCTGTGGAGGTTGCAGATTTGTGTTCTTCAATAATGGTGTGGTACCAGCGCTGCAGACCACACAGCAGCAGGACCTTAACAGCAGAAGGCCAGAAGCAAATACCTCACAACTAATAAACAAAAAGGTTGCTCCTTAATCATCTTTTTCCTATGGTGAGTTGCTCGTTGGATGCGTGAAGTTTGGTTAACAGCCTCAGGGTGCCATCATCAACCTCCTGCACTGAGCACCAGCCTACCTGGAGTGACCTGGAAGCTCTTTCAGCATCATATTTATTACCCCAGTGATTTTAACGACTACCAAGACTGGACTTTGAGGTGAGCCTTTAGAGTGGACCACCGACTATCACGGTAAATACAAGACTACCTTTCCACAGCATGTGAAAGCATATAAATGTGTCTCTGTTAAGCTGATCTGCATTATGGATACAATTTGTTGTGCAACTTAAATATATTTATTGCTTACCCCTGTAGGGGTGGTAAATATTTTATTTCATCAGATATTATTCGGACTGTAATATATTGTTAATAAACACATGCCCTACTAGCTGTGTGTTAGAACAACAAATGGAGCTCCAGTAAATAGAGCTCCCATCACAGTCAAACAGGTAATTCTGCACATACATGAAATAATTTCACCACAACTTCCATTCAAAATATAAGAGTTTATGAACAAAAATCATTCAGCTCCAAGTCAAACATATTTCAGGTAGAAATTCTTGACTAAAACGATTCAAACTCAACAGAACTGAGATACTATTTACAAAGAGGAAGGGAAAACATGGATGAAAACCATATTACAGTTTAGCATGGATTTTATGTTTAAGAACCATAGTTTATCTTGAAGAATTAGGGATGTGATCAACGTAGCTTTTCACTCATTTAGAATGACTGAAATGTTTTCAAACCAATGCAAAATGCAAATCCATGAGGTGAACAAACAATAATTTGGCCAAATTTTCTTTTATTAAAATGAGTCACTTAAAATTGTGTTCTGGATTTAATTTAAGGAAGCGAATGAGAGAAGCTAGGAAAGGAGAGATATGATTTTTGTTTTTAATTTTAATCTGCAATGTTGAGGATTTGCATATATCTACTTCATGCTGATATCTCCCAACCTTCTGTTGTCAAGCTCTGTGCTGACAGCTGCTGATATAAAAAAGCTGAATAGGTTGTCTATCTATCCATCCATCGTCCGTCACACTTATCCCTGCTGCGGTCGTGAGGGGTAGGTCATTTTGTATCATAAATACTTGTGCATTTTAACTGTGAAATTGAAGTTGCAGAGATAAAGTAGAAGTTTTTATAATAGTAGATTTTTTTCCTAAGTTTCCAAATCATAAAAAAATGACACTTCTTTAAATTGTTGAGTAAATTTAGACATAAGAAGGGGCAGATGGGGACATCTACTTCGGTACGCATTGTGCTACAGCTTATTCATTCCAATTATTGACTTGTGTTCCATTCATGTGTCTGAAATAAGAAAAGAATACAGAATGGTGCCAATGAGTAGACGCATTTAAGTTAAAGGTTTCACTTTATCGAACAATATTGACAGAAAGATAAAACAATTCAAAACTTTGTCTGCATTAAACATGAAAATCATTATAATCAATCAATGTGGTGTGAAATAATCTGTTAGTTTAGCAGATATAAGTTTCTACTTCTCTCTGCTCATTTTCATATATGATTTCTTTTAGTTGTTACATTTGTTATTCATATTTAATATTGAATGGATTAAATGAAAACTTACATGATAAACTATGAATGAACTGCTTCTTTATGATAATCTGCAAGCTCCAGTTTTCCTGTTACTTTGATGCCGGTACACCTGCATTTTGCCACCGAGTAACAATAATGAATATTACTATTTGATATAAAAAAAAATAAGAGTAAAATCAAATAGACCAGTGAAATTTAGTGATGAATTTGTTAAAAATCAAACATTGCTGTTTAAAGAAACACTCAATCTGATCTAAGCCTGAGCCTTTTAGCAGAGATTAATGGCCTAGCAACAGTGACTTTGTAAATAAATTCAGAGTTGTTCCGATCTGGATTTGTATAAAAAAAATTCTAAGACATGACTCTTCATTCTAATAATCTTTGTTCTTTAAAAAAATTTACTAAATAAATCAAGTTTTGTGACAAAATATTAAAAAGCATAATTCTTCCCCAAGAAACTATATGAAACTGAGAGGCCCAAAGGTTTTTATATTGTCTTTATTATTGCTTTTGTGATACAATTCACTTTCTTCGGTGTGATTTAAGAACAACTAAATCCTTCACAGTATGGTTTAAAGCAACACAAACATTCAGACATGTGGAAAAACCAAATTAAGTTTGTAATCTGAATCAGCATCTCAATTAATATATTAATCATCCTAAAATTAGTTGTCTTTCAAAGCATTTTGAAAAAAAAAAA